CCCCAAAACCCCAAAACCCCAAAACCCCATCATGTCAAATTTTGAATAATTATGTGAAATAAAATGTGATAAAGTCTATAATACAGCAATGCGAATCATAAATTTATTATATTCTTATAATAATGAAAAAAAGGCTTAGCCTTCATAATCATGAAACTTAGAAGCTTAATAATTCACCAATTATCAAAGATGATGTTAAGTTTCAATAGAAGTAGAATGATGAGAGTTATTATAGCTATGGCATTGAAGAAGATTTTTCTCCCCCCAAACACTTAAAGAGTGAGGATGATTCAGAGCTTAAGGACTTGGAATATGATGAGGAGGCATAAGATGAGTTAGAGGAAGATGATGAATATGACAATGAAGATGACTATTTAGTTAGCAATAACTTAGGCAATATTATCCCAAATAATTAGAGGAAGTTAATTCAAAATAGAGTTGGACTGGGTCAACTATCGAACTATGACTAGAAAGGAGACTCTTCAGTTTCGTTGGAATAACTTTATATGCAGGAATATGAGCGAATGCATTAGTATAGAAAAAGTTATGGCAATAGTCATTAACATCGTTATGAACTCGATCTCCCAAATCAAAACAATCTCAACTATTAGGACTATCCATCTAATTAACAGTAAACAAATCAATACGTCGAAATGTAATCTTCTTACATGTAACATCAGACTTCAAAGAACCACGGCTTTGGATAGTACAGCTAATCCTTTAAACTTGAAAGCGCTGAAAGGCATGCCTTAAAGGAAGAACTGATGAATGAGGACCTGGTTGAATTCAATATTGAATTGGAATAGTCGCCTAAACAAAGAAATATTGAGTAATCCAGAGGTGAAGAAATCTTAAGTAATGGATTAAGCTTAGGTTAGAATCAAGGCTTGATTTAGCATCATCCTTTGGCATTCTCGAATTCTGAAGTGAGAAGATCAGATGATGAACTCTATCAAGGAGTCATAGTTAATCATGCACATTAAAGGAAAAAGTTTTTAAGATATATATTGCTGGGCTTTGCTAGCATTGCAGTTTTTCCTGTGTAAAATATAAAATTTTAAATATACATTATAGCAATTTTTGTTACTACGAACCAGCAGCTTTGCAATACTAAATTTAGACTGTAAAGAAATGAATTGATTTATTTTCAAATATAGTAATTCAATAAGGGACCAATGTACTTCTGCATGTTCTTTGCTATTACAGAAATACCTAGGATATTTGTTCCGTTTATAATCAAATAGTTCACTTTCAATCTCTACCAAAGGTAATTTAGCATTTATAATTTATTTGATTTGTTTAGACAAGCTGTACTAGTACTCGGATTCATGGTATTTCTTAGTCACCTAGTAGTCTATATTGGAATAATGACTCAGAGAAGCTGGCTAACATTTTCTGGACGAGCTCTATTTGGAATGTTCTCCGCTGGCTTATTATGTAAGCCTCAAGTCAATTTAACAAAATTTAAGCATCAATTCAATTCTTATTTGGAAAATGGTAGTCCTAATAGAAGCAAGGAATATATCATCTGTAATTGGCTTTATATAATAATATTCACTATAGAATGAGTCAAATCGTAGCACATTTGGGGATAGTTGTTGCAGTCTTAGTAGGAGGACATTAGTACTTTGATTTAAATCACCAAAGAACTATTTCAACAACTTTCACTGTGGGCATTAGTCTCTCTGCCTGGAATATGGTCCCTTTATTTATATGCTTTGTTCTAGATAAAATTCTGAACAAACTAGAGGATGAAGACTTTGGCATACTAACCTTTGTACAACATTTTTATAATCCAAAAATATTAGTAAGATGGTGAAAGGGCGAGGTAGAGAGAAATAAGAGCTTCTACTCTGAAAATAGCTCCAAAAATATAACACCTAAGACATTTTGGATGTGGATTCTGGCTTTTTACTTTCGCACATTCAACTCAAAATGCTTGCTTGAAAACTTTTCTGATATTTTCAGTGTTGTTTTTCCAGAGATAATACTAGATTACTCTTGATGCTGCTGCTAGATTCGCTGTATTTCAATTGAATCAGCTTAAATATATGTATATAGGTTATTCCTTTTGTTGTGAGTATAGCATTTTCTATTCCAGTTTACTTCCAGACTTAAAGGCATGGTCATAGACTTAAAACTTGTATTTTTATTTAGATTAATCAAGATTCTGTAGTTGCTTTTGGAGCAGTATTTTAATTAGCATCCTTTGCTTTCTTGCTAATTATCTAATACTATTACTACCATGAACTCTACAAAAGTTCTACGACTCAATCTAGATTTAAAGTAGACTAAGATGAATCATCTCTAGATGTGCTTTTGATTGTATTTTTAATTGGAATGGGAATTACTCATACTTTCAAAATAGCTATTTTCCCTTAAGTAATGCCTTTTGTAATAAAAGAGGAAGTAAGATTAGAATCAGGAGCTGCTTTCAATCAAGCTATTGATCATTTGATTACTTCTACAAGTTTAGTGATTGTGGGTTTACTTGAGAACTCCCTTGGGGATAATTCAAAGTTGCCCATATTTATGTACCTGCTTTTGTTAACATTGACAAGCAATTTCTTCTACTGGTGGTTTTATATATTTGATAAGTACAAAAAGAATAGTTTACTTGATTTAAGACAACTAGGCTAATCTGGATATGTAAAGCATGTAAATAGGAGTAATAATAGTACAAACAAAATATTCGGACTATAGATGCCAATTCTTGGTGGGGCTAATAAAAAAAAGAATAAAAGCGATCCAGAAGAGACATTCTTCAATCCTCATAGAAGAGTCAATTTTTAGGCTGATAGCTAGCCAAATGATAAACTTCTTGGATATGAATTATAGGCTAGCAAGGTAAATCTTGTGAATGGACCTAAAAGCATATTAAGACAGAGTCAAGAAAAGTTCGAACTATAGCAGCTTAAGCCTTTCCAAAGATCAGTAGAATATCAAGTAAATGAGATTATGAATGAACTCAATCTAGCAGTTAAATCAGGCAACCCTTCGCCTAAAAATTAATCCAACCCCAAATCATGAATGTATATAATCAACTTGAAGATTACTTATACTTTCTTATAGCTCTTGGTAAATTAATTGTTCTTAGTAAATTGCCTAATTAGATATTTAGATTTTATTGAGTCATTTTAATTAAATAAATGATTTGCTGACTTGGGGTTTTGGGGTTTTGGGG